AGCTTAGAGCTTTATTTCTGTTTTCAATGCCAAACTGAAATGGAAGAACTAGAAGGAATTCCAATTAAAGCCTTTGGAGGGGTCTAGAATTTTTTTATTATACTAACAGAACACTTACTGGAAAACAGGTAGACTTAGTGAAGTTTCTGATTTCCTTTTTTCTTCTGAATTTGTGTGGGCTGTAGCAAAATGGGTTCCTTTCTTGTGAAATGACAAGTGCTTTTTCCTTTAAGTGACTGTACAACTGTGGAGTCAATGCAGGTGATGTGAAAGCACAATCTGGTTTGAAATGTGTAGTTATTCAGTAATGGTCTTTGAATCTTGGCATTAGGTAAACCAATCCTGCTTGTTAATAATGTTCTGAACAGTTTAACTTTAGGCTGAGGAGAGGGTGGAAAAATAGCAAACTGATGCTTAAGTTTGGAGTTTATAAAGCTGTTTATAAACAAATGCCTTGAAATGCTCAGTTTTGTGGGACTAGCCAAGAATGACACAACATTGTGCAGGTTTCTCTACAGCAGGAGACCTTAGTTAACCTGGAGAGTTATAATCTAAACAGGTAAGTCAAGGGAAGGCTGAAATAGTTGGTGAGCTTAGGGTGGCATGGTTTGACTAGTCCTGTGGCCAAGTGCAGATCTTCAGAAGTCTAAATCAAAACAACTTTTAGTAACCACTATGGTTTGATTTGTAGATCTTGCCGAGTTTCATGTGGTCAACCTGTCTCTTGGTGTAACCTTCATTTCTTGATCCGAAGAGCATCTTTCACTAGCACCACAAAGCCCCTATTGTGCTTATGGTTTTGTGTAATCTACTGTTAAAAAAAAAAAAAATCCAGACTTATCAAGTCAATGGCTTAACCCTTATCTTTTAAAGTAGATGAAACAGGTAATTACTTCTAATTTCTTAAACTCTTTCAGGCAGTCTTTTATCTTTTATGCTCTGACCTAGGCTCTGTCTAGCGCTTTATTTTGAAGCAGGTAAACTGTAATGAGAAGAAACCCTTAAAAAAAATCTTTCAGGAGGGTTTTTGATGTCTTATGACACTTGCCGCACACAGTTCCACGTGGTGTCATTAAACCTGAGGGTAAAATGACAGATTGAAATTAACCAGATTGACTTTCTGCCATTGACTGCCATTGATCACTTCCCTTCCTGTTGGAGGAGGGTAAATCTTGTTGTTTGGGTACAGTTTACTTCCCAGCAAGTAAAGAGCAATATGGGAGATAAGGGAATACTTATCACAGAATTAGGCAACTTATCTGGACACTTATTCAGGGCAGGCTCTTCAGCAGATGTATTAAGGCTCTTGGCCTTAGGTTTATATTCCCTTAAACTGAAGGGAATTAAATAATGTTTTAAAAGCAACTGCAGTAATCAGCGGTTCTTCTAGACACTGCTGCTTTTTTGAGAGGTGGTTAGATTTCCTAAGATGTGCTTTTCTGTAAGGAAAAAGTGAGTTAATGTCAGGGTCTTGACTGCCTCAAGGATGCTTTATCTACAGAATAGGATGAAAATTCATCCTTGCCTACTCAGATGATGGAGAGAGCTTCCACTTGTGTTCATTGATTTTTATTTTTTTAAAAACCTTAAGGAACTGTTAGATGTGAGCTTTGAACTGTGGTGTATAAACGGTTTCTCGGGCTGCAGAGGTGGAAATGCAAGTGAACAAAGAGTTGGCTCCAATGACTTCTCTTGTTTTGTTAGAGCATTCCTATTAAAATCTCACTGTACCCCTTTCTGAACCAGTGGTGTGCTGCTAACCTGTTGTTTTTTAAACACTGATACTTGTGCACAGACACTGCCCGTGTCAATCCTTTGCCATGCTGCTTCAGCCTTGCCTTGTTCTGTACTGCCTGGCTGTTCTGCAGGTGGAGGGGGCCATGCTCCCTCTGTTGCCACCAAAGAAGAGATGCCTTGTGTGAAGCTTCTGGGATTTCACTGAGGGCCTACAACATAGGGGTTGTGTTGTGAGCAGACTCCTGCATTCAGAGTGTTCATGTAGTGTTGGTATTCCAAAAGATTCAAGTGGTACTTGTAACAGTTCTGCAGGGAAAGTCAAGTACCCTGGCCGTTAAGAGCTGGGTTAGCTTTAGATGCAATCAAACTGTAAATTTGTATGCTGTTGGATGGGGTTTGGTTAATACTATACTTTGGTTACAAGTCAGGTAATACTGTTTATGAAAGCTGACCTTGCAGTTTCTACTGGCTGGTGTTGAGGTGGGATGGAGAAGGAGGGATTTAAATATTCTCTCCACTTACCTCTATGATGAGCTTGTACTAAATCAAGCCGGTCAGTATTTTACCTAAAAGTCAGCTCTTTCGTTAGTATGAGCAGGTAAAGATGTGGCATCTGTACTGACAGGAGGGAGAAAGCTGCTATCTTCTCTCCTGGCTGTTACAAATAATCTTTTTATTGTATTGCATAGCACAGTGGACAGTGGCAATTTAACAGGCAGCAGCACTGAGCTTGTGTTGCCAGAAAAATGTTTAACTGGAAAGCTTTGTGATGGATAACACAGCAGTTACAACAACCTTAAGATGCTTGTTAAAGGAATACTCAAAGGTTAAAACCAGTCACAATTACACTGAAAAGTTGCTAAAGGTCATTTGGCTTCTCAAGAAAGCTGCTTATCTACTATTGTCAAAGCCAGACTACTCTTGAACTAGGACAAAATAAACTTACCTACAACTTAAAAGCAAGCTGTTTTATTACTGGAATGCTTAAAGTCCCCAAACTATCTCATTGTGTGGTCAATCTGTAGCTTTTATACCTTGAGTGTCAATGCCCAAGTGAACTGAATTTTAGTTCATCTGTAGCACATGTGGACCATAAGCACAGGAAGCCTTTCAGCAACAGCTTCTGGGGATCAGATGTTCAGATGCTACCTGCTGTGGTTTTTTTCCCCGGTTTTTCCACACTCCCCTGGCAGGGAACTCTTGTTTTCTTCCCCTCTTACCTCTCTGGTGACGAAGAACTAAAAATCAAGCTTGCAGTTCTCTTCTGGTCTGGAATCTGTAGGGTGATGGCTGAATTCACTGTCCCCAGCACAAATGTCAGTTTGTGCTGTACAGGGAGAATCTCTGAGAAGTAGGAGTTGTCATATCCCATATCTGTATGAAGAAGTGTCCTGGATTAGGGAGTTGATGTATAACATAATATAGAAGATTACCAGAGGAAAATATCTGTCTTCACTTACCAGTGTTTATCCCAGAATGAACATTTAAAGGTAGTTAATTTGCATTACTGTACCAAATGCGTGTAGCAAACAGGTGTGAGTAAAATACTCTGCATGGAAAAATACTACTGCTCATATGTCAGAAAATGCTGTCCTGAGGGCACTTCTTGATTGTTGGCATGTTTGTTCTTGTATGCAGTAGTCAATGAGAACTTAGTTTGATTTGTTGCTTTTCAGAACATCAAGTCACAACAAAGGGAAAAATCTTCACAATATATGTGTACTCCAGGGCAGGTTGCCCAGACTGGTCATGGAATTGTCAGCCTCAAAATGTAGGGCACATAAGCAGTTTGCTCCAAGCAATCCACTTTAAGGGAGGGGTTTGGGCTGGACAACATCCAAAGGTCCTTTCCAGGCTAAACAATCCTGTAATGTGTTTGTAGGTTGACAATCCCTCAGACCCCAGTTAACTTTGTTTAGGGCAGCTAGTTATCCTGAAGGTTTTTCTTTCCAATATAGTACTCCCTACCTTCTATACTAGGCCTTGTTTTTCCATCCAGTAGAACTTGATGGTGTGGTGTGGCAGTTCCAGTCTCTTTCTGGAGTAATCATGTTCAGGAGAATTTGAGACTCCTGGTAGGCCTGTTGCTTCCAGAATAATGGGTGCTGCTGTAAATCAAGACTTTCCATAGCAGTGTTCCCTGAATGGTCTGCTGTTCTCCCTACAGCGCTCTGCCAGGATATGAGCAGCTGGGGCCCTTAGCTGTCCTGCTGTGAGGACACAAGTGTTGCTATCCCAGCATCTCCCTTACAGCCATCATGTGTCTGGAGTACATGTCTCTGGTTGTTTTTTTCTCACTGTGGGAATCCTGACCAACACATCTCTTCATTATCGGTCACTTGTGCATTTGTCCCCGGTGTGCTGTTCTTGCAGCTGCTGCAGGTGTGGCAGCTGGTACTTGTGTTTCTGACACAGCTACCCTTAAAAAAAAAAATACAATATTATTTTTAAGAGGTCTCTAGCACTTAGTTACTCAGTTTGCATGACACACAAAGGCTTGTTAACTAGTACTTGTTTATTGAAACTTCTGATTTTGCAAAGCCATAAAAGGGTAAGAATACAAATTGAGAATTTCTTGCAGTAAAGCAGGAATTTTTTTTCAAAAGCAAACTAGATTTGCAGCATCAAAAGGCAGGAAGAGTACAAAATAAATGCTAATGCCATATCATAAGACTTTCTGCTGGAAGCTTTTACAACTTGTCCCTGCCAGAATTTACTGTGTATCTGTTTTGGTTTTTTTTTTTTTTTAGCCCATGTAGAGATGAGATCAAAAGTCATCTTTCTACCTATAAGCAGATCTAAGGTATAGTTCTGCTTCCAGGTTGAAACTAAGCTGCATCTACATTAAATAAGTATTTTAGAAAAATGTAAAGCCTTATAACAAGAACAATAAAAACCACTTAATTTCATGTTGTCTGTGAAAGTGGCTTTTTTCTTTTGGAGACTGCTCTAGATAACAATTGTCTAGGATGGGTTTACAAATAAGAGCAGCTTATTCAGCTAGTAGCTGCTTTGAGAAGCCTTTGGCACTTTTATTAATGGTACTGTTGTCACAAATACCCTCTATCTGTTCTAATACCTTGTTCCTACTCATATTTTAGACATCAGTGACGTGGTTTGCTTGCCAGTGCATTGAAATGGCCTGAAATTATCCTCTAGGCTAGCCGGGCAGGGTTTTAATCTGGTCTTTCAGTGCTAGTGAGATGCTTTACCTGCTTGCTACCATGATGCCACCAGTGTCATGGATGGTGACTGTTTCTTCTGTCTGCAGATCTGATTGATTGCCTGGCACTTCATCTGTGGCAAGCAGGACAATGGCTGCCAGCAAGAGCAAGAACCAGAGTTCCTTGGCCCTTCATAAAGTAATTATGGTTGGCAGTGGAGGTGTGGGCAAATCTGCACTCACTCTTCAATTTATGTATGATGAGGTAAGTAGCTTTGGCTCAGGTTCTCTAAAGCACCAATGGATACAGCTTACTAAACTTTTTTTTAGTGGGACAGGGGAGCTAAATGGAAGTAGTAAAAGACCTCATGACCTGACTGGCAGGAGAAGAATGCAGGAATCTGGGAAGGGTGCCCTCTGGAAACATCTTTGTTTAAGGGTGACAAAACTGATGCTCATTAGTGAAAGAACAGTCTTCAAAAGGCTTCAAAAACATGCAGAATGTGAATGTGCTTGTCTGAGAGTACAGAGGCTGTTACCAGTTGGCATTGCACTTTCGTTCTGTTGCAGTTTCTTTTAGGCCAGTTAAGGCTGGAGTCAGAAGTAAGCATTCTAGCTCATTCTGAGCTGAATGATGAAGTAGGTGTGTTCATAACATGGATCTTCCATACTGGTATACAGGAAGCTAGATTAGACAATCCAGACCAGTATGTGAAGGAATACATGATCCTGTAATTCAGAAGTTAGTATTTATCTGTAGGCTGTTCTCATGTCCTGTAGTGATGTGAATATCTGAACGGGTGGCACAGTCACTAGTGAAAGCCAGTCAGCTTCATCAGGCTCATGGCACAGCATTTTCTTGTACTTTGAGGCTGAGAGAAAGGGGGTGGAAAGGTAAGGAGCCTATGTTAGACATGTGCTGTCAGCACAGAACTGGTAAGTTGAACTGACAGTGGCTTTGTGGGTCTGATCAGTATTGAATGGACTAAAGTGCATGCTTGTGTAATTATGGAGCAAGCATGTTCAACAGCTGGGTGCTGTCATCTGCACCTGATGAAGCTTCAGATAGCTGTATCTGAAGTACACTGAAATTGTTTTTCTTGAAGTGGGATATCTAGATAATGGCACTAGGTTGCTGGTAGCTTATACTATATCTTTTTCCTTTAAGTTGTGCTGAAATTGCTGAAAAGTTTCATGTAGCAAGTCAGTTTCTTTTGACTAAGCATACTAGGTATTTGATGTATTAAGTGTTTAAATAATTTGCTTTTTATAGTGAAACTAAAAAAAAAAAGTGGTGGAACTTGGTAGTTGACTGAATTATGAGAAAAGGTTTTTGGGAATTTAAGTGTCACTGAAGTGAAAGAGAATGAATATGGACAAATACTGATACTGTTTGACAGTAATTCTAAGCACCACTAATTCCTTTCTTATCTTCAGTTTGTAGAAGACTATGAACCTACCAAGGCTGACAGCTACAGAAAGAAAGTAGTTCTGGATGGTGAAGAAGTTCAGATAGACATTCTGGACACAGCAGGACAGGAGGATTATGCAGCTATCAGAGATAACTATTTCCGCAGTGGGGAAGGCTTTCTTCTAGTTTTCTCAATAACAGAGCATGAATCCTTCACAGCAACAGCGGAGTTTCGGTAAGTAGTTTCTGTCCCAGGCAGGGGGAAATATCTGGTTCCTCTGACAACTCTACAGCTCTTTATCCTTCCTCCATTACCATTTGGTCAATAGAAGTGACAACATAACCATTTTTCTCTTGGTAACTGGTAACTTAAACCACAGTACCAGCGTCTCCCTCTAGCTGTCCTCATGCCTTCAGCTTATGAGTACATTATGTCAGCAGTAACTTCAGGCAAGTAACAGATTCTTGGACTCTTAAAACGTGTATTCAAGCCAATTTTCAGTCTTTGTGGATGTGAAGTTTAATTATCTTAGAGCAGTATTTCTGGAATTAAGTCTGCCTTTTGGCCAGGTTTCAGACACTGTGTTGCTTACCGCTAGAAGCAGGTGCTCTAAGGAAAGGAAGGATTAGCCTCCACTCTCAGGTGTGGATTGATGCCAAACAAGGGTTGGCAGCCAAGCAGCACTATTGTAGGCAGATGTATTCCTAGAAAGACGCACAGTAGAACTAAATGCTTCAATTTTTGTTCTTGGGATTAGCAGTTCTAATGTAAAAATCGGCACCAGACTGAGCACAGAAACTGCTTGTGTAGTGTAAAAGGAAAACAAGGGGTTTCATCCATTGTTCTGGTCTCAGGACTCGTGTAACCAGGTTCTTCAGGACAAGTGAAACTTTTATTTGACAATAGCTATTGCTTCAGTGTAGAAGGTAATCCAGAGATTCTCTAGGACAGCTGTACAACTTGAAGTAAAACTTCCCACAACATAGGGAAAGTGTTAGGGCTCCTTATGTTTGCCAGAATAAAGTTCTTTATCAGTCTGGCTTATGTTCACTTTACCTGGGTGGTGCAAGGTTAACAGATACTAATTGGTAATGCAAGTGGTGGTGCTAAGGTGGACACCTATTTCTAGGGTTGTCTTAATGCTATGGCAAATTCCCCTCACACTGTAGGACTTTGGTCCAGGTTCTTAATGTATTATATTGTTCCAACAGCAGTAGGTGACTGAGTAATCTTTTAAGAGGTATATTGTCCCTTTGTCACATAGTACTTTTGACTTTGCTAGACGTCAGAAGGCTGACAGTCATGGGGCACACAAGCAGAGCTGTTCTGCTCAGTTTCCTCTGACCGAAGCACTTAAAGGAGCTATAAACAGTTGACCTGTTGTAGGACTGCAAAACTGAGTACTTGAACTGTTCCTGGTATAAGATGAAGGAAAAAGTCAGATACCATTAAAAAAAAATGAAGGAAATGAGGCACTTGAAAGTACATAGCCTTAATTTTTTTGCTTATGTGCTTGAGGGAAATAATAAGGTTAAACCCAAGGCTTAAGGCTTTGGATGAAAAGGAGTAGGAGTGTTTATCTTGGCAGCTTGTGGTTTTTGTCAGACTTCTGTAACTGGGTTAACTGTGTTAGTTCAAGATTCTAGCACAGCAAAACAATGAAAAAGCAATGCTAGCCCTAAACACAAGCAAGAAGGACCTAAAGCTTTGAGATGGAGAATCCTCTACTTCTCAGTGAGTCATAAAAAAATAAGTGAAACTAGTTAAATGGACTACTTAGTTAAGCTAATGTCTAAGAACCAGCTCCTTGGAAAACTATTCCACAGGAAGGAGGAGGATAATGGGTAGTATGAGTCACTAACATTGCAGCCTAAACTACAGATTGATATTATTGATTCTGTACCTTCTAGAATTCTTAAACTATGAAAAAGTTTAATACTGAACAAACTGTGAGCTTGTCTTTAAACCCTAGTTCTCCTGCTGAGGCTATGCATTTAGTGTTTGCTTTAAGTGCCTCTGTAATCTGAAAATGTTTGAAGGTCTGGTTGAGTGGAACAGCAGAATGTCTGCTTCAGTGTTAACACTAGTTTAGATTCTGCTGTACTCTGCATACATTCAGTTATTTTGTGGATGGGAAGTGCAAGTATCTAAAGTAGTGTGGTAACTCAGGGGGATGGGGGGTGTAGCACTATGCTCATGCCTAGTTTGGCTCTCGATCATAACAAAATGAAGCAATCTAAAAGTAACTGTAGATTGGTACTGTTCTTCCAGAGTCCCAGATGGACAGCAGCATGTGTCAGTTTGGTTTCAACCCATGTTTTACTCCAGTAACAGCACAGACTGAGACTGACCTGCAGCATCACCACTGTCTCCTTTCTTGGATGCTGACAGGTCCTTTTAGAATGATAAAGGATAGCTACATTAATGCTGGTGGTTCAAACGTTTTCTTGGGATCTTTGAAGGACAAAGGTGGCTAGTGTTGTAGTTCAGCGATATTTAGTAACTCTCCATTGTATTTCAGCAATACTTAGTAACTTTTCTTTATGTAAAATTTAGGTAGGCATTAAGAATGATCTCTGCCAGCTCCTTATGCTATTCCCAACCTACTGCCTTGGCAAAGCCTGTTGTTGCTCAGACCTATATTGAGGTGGGATGTAGACTGGAAGTTGAAGATGGTGACTAAATGCCAAGGTGAAACTTGGCAAATGTGACACTTGTACTCTTTTCCTCATTCAGATGTGAACTCCTGTTGTGAGTTGCTCTTCTGTCATACAGTTCTTCTTTATTAGAGCCTGAGTAGTAAACTTACTAATGAAATGATAAAACTGCCATCCTGGAAGTGTGAGGCTTTTATAAAGCCCATAGTATTATTATGCTAAACTTGGAATAAATTTTAAAGTATGTGTGTGTTCAACTGTTGGGAAATGTACTTTTAAATACCGTTGTTAACACTAGTAATGTGCAGACCAGTTGATCCACTCCTGATAAAGGTGGGATTTTTGTTGCTACTACTAACGCAGATATTTTTTGTTCTGAATACCTGATGCGTTAGGGAACAGATCCTGCGTGTGAAGGCTGAAGAGGATAAAATCCCTTTACTGGTAGTGGGAAACAAATCTGACTTGGAAGAGCGCAGACAAGTGCCTGTAGAAGAGGCTAGAAGTAAGGCAGAGGAGTGGGGTGTGCAGTATGTAGAAACCTCTGCCAAAACTAGAGCAAATGTAGATAAGGTAAGACAAATGACATTTACTCAATTAAATTGTTACTACTTGTTTATTACATGAGTGACTGTTTCTTGACTCTTGCTGGAACAAAAGCAAATCCCCAGTTGGGCTTCTGAAAGCCTAGATTATAAAAAATGAATGAACTTACTGGAATGTGTACACTTAATTAAATACCTAGCTTAGAGAAACCAGAGGCCTGGTACAAATTAATGCTATTGTACCTGAACCAATAGCTTTCCAATAGTACATTGGGTAAATGGGTTTAAGGATTCCCTGAAGTATGTTACTTTGTTTATAGGCTATGTCCTATTAAAACAGCAATAACTAGCAAGCTATAGACACTTAAAAATTGTT